ATGCTTATCTAATAAAGATATAATAAATAACTAAATATCACATAATATACCATTATCATGTTACATATTAATAAATAATTTTATATTACATGTTATATTTCCTTCGATATAATTGTAATGCTACACCTATGTAATAACCTTTGACACAAAACACATTTAGATGATTTACTGTTTACAAAATTGTATAATAAATTATTGGGCATTGCTTAATATAATGCTTGCATTTATAAATGCATATATATGTGCTACACTATAAACACAGACAACTTTTGAAGTACAACAAAAAACTGTTGTATGCCCATATATAGTCATGATGTGCCTAGTATGGTCATGATGTGATGTCATCATTACCATATATAGATATGTCACATGCAGGCTGGAAAGGGCTTAACTCATAATTTTATTGACCTCTGTGTAAATATAAATAGAAATAAACTTGATATGCAGGAATTAAAATTGAATAATGCTGATACAGCCAATTATGCAATATAAATTTAAGGATGTTTATATTATATATGGATAACAAACGTAAACATAAACAAACTATATGAAAACTTTTTGATAAATGTTTTTGCTTGTTACTAACACTAAGAACATTATCTGTATTATATAATCATTATTTAAATTATTTTTTAAAAACAGAAATAAATGAGGTATTTAAAAAATGGAGTGGGCAATTAGTGTGCAACACAATAATGAATGTCAGGTCTCCCTCCAATTAAAGACCACTATTGGGACCGGGGTTTCCATGGCCTTTAGCAACTTTTGTCTCTAATTAGAAAAATAAAATACTGTAACGGACATTTGTTAATTTGGGATCACAGAAAAGTGGTTTTTAATTAGAGGTGGTCTTTAATTAGAGGGAGACCTGTATAAGAATATTTAAACTTAAAGACCATTGTTGGGATCAGGGTTGTTGCCACTGTCTTCATCAGCTTTGGTCTCCAATAATATAGATAATAATAAAGATACTGTAACAGACATTTGCTAATTAGGGACCACAGAATTAGAGTTGATCTTTAAATAGAGAGTGTGTGTGGGGGTGGTGTGTGAGTGTGTGTGTGTGGGTGTGTGAGTGTGTGTGGGTATGTGTGTGGGTGTGGGTGGGTGTGTGTATAATGTATGTATGATTACGGTATCCTAAAAAATAACTTTACTTATTAACGATCAATAAACAGCCAAGCAAGACCAATTATAACTGCATGCCTATATTTAGTCTGTATTCGACAAGCAAATTTATTAGTGCGAAATCGAAAATGTTGGTTCATGCAATAACATTCTTATCAGAATTTTTCGCTTCAGTGTAATCAGTAGATCGAAATGTTTCTACTTTTTCGCCTAGTAGAAAACAAGCAAACGCTTTCCTTTCATCGACAGTAAGGCAAAAGCGAAAGAAATTAATCAAAACCCCAAGTGAGCCAGTGTAGCACATAGTTGCAATGAAGCTGAACTTTATTGCCAGCAGTCAGTATTATAACCGTTGTATATTACACAAATACCTGCTATATACAAAGGAATATTTGTACCAATGACACAATAAGATACCGTGTCTTTAGGCACACAATTTTGCTGACTCAGAATTAAGAGGAAACGTAGCAATGGTGAATAGGTGTTATACAAAGGACTACAATATCTAAAGAAAAACTTAACGCCGATGAGATAATGGGGTACGCGTTAGTACCGCATGTTTTTTGTAATTATACTTCAAATGTACTTAAATCCCATAAAAAAAAAATAATAAATAAAAAAGGATGTGAAATTTGAACGAAAAGTTCTATCTCTACTTTGTGTAAATCGTGTACAGTATATTTTTTTTATTGAACAATTCATTATTTGCTGAAAATGAAAAAAAAAAAATGACAAAGTGCTTTATCTAATATGGATCTAAATCGATGATTGACAGACTCGTAGGTACGGTTCACACGAGAGCCCTTGTATCCGGATCGGGAGCTAATCGTTTGGTATAATAGTATTGATTTAATACATAGGCTAGTTTTTCTGTAATGACAGTTTTGGTTATTTTGTGTGTGTGTGTGTGTGTGTGTGTGTTATTTTACTGTATGTACGAATTGTATTCTGATTTTTATAAAAGGCAAAATAAAGAATACAGTAAATGATTTACAAATAATGAGGGAGCTGCTGCGTTTTCTGTGAGCTTCATCTGCCTCCTAGCAAGTAACTGATGATTTGTGCTCGCAGTTACTTTGTCGCAACGGTATAAATTGCATGAAAAAAATATTCGTAGAAAAAGTACTTTGTCAGACTATCAAATTTTATTCGAAAAAAAAAACTGTTGTATGCGCATATAAAGTCATGATGTGCCTATATATTCCCAAGCACCGGACTAATAGATACGGCAGTAGATCGAAATGTTTCTACTTTTTCGCCTAGTAGAAAACAAGCAAACGCTTTCCTTTCATCGACAGTAAGGCAAAAGCGAAAGAAATGAATCAAAACCCCAATTGAGCCAGTCTAGCACATAGTTGCAATGAAGCTGAACTTTATTGCCAGCAGTCAGTATTATAACTGTTGTATATTACACAAATACCTGCTATATACAAAGGAATATTTGTACCAATGATACAATAAGATACCGTGCCTTTAGGCACACAATTTTGCTGACTCAGAATTAAGAGGAAACGTAGCAATGGTGAATAGGTGTTATAGCCTACAAAGGACTACAATATCTAAAGAAAAACTTAACGCCGATAAGATAATGGGGTACTTTGTTAGTACCGCAGGTTGTTTTGTAATTATACTTCAAATGTACTTCAATCCCATAAAAAAAAAAATAAATAAATAAAAATGGATGTGAAATTTGAACGAAAAGTTCTATCTCTACTTTGTGTAAATCGTGTACAGTATATTTTTTTTATTGAACAATTCATTATTTGCTGAAAAAAAAAATGACAAAGTGCTTTATCTAATATGGATCTAAATCGATAATTGACAGACTCGTAGGTACGGTTCACACGAGAGCCCTTGTATCCGGCATCAAAAACCTGCCATGTAAAGCAATATTTGTACCAATGAGACATTAAGATACCGTGCCTTTGCACATAATTTTGCTGACTCACAATTAAGAGGAAACATAATAGTGAATAGCTGTTACACAAAAGACTGCAATATCTAAAGAAAAACTTAACGCCGATGAGACAGTGGGCTACATGTTAAGTACTGCAGGTTGTTTTGTAATTATACTTCAAAAGTACTTCAACCCCATCCAAAAAATTAAAAAAATAATTTTTTTTTTTACAGAGGTCAGGTTCAAACAAGAACCCTAGTATTCGAATCGGGAGCTAATCGTTTGGTATAATAGTATTGATTTAATACATAGGCTAGTTTTTCTGTAATGTCAGTTTTGGTTATTTTTTGTGTGTTATTTTACTGTATGTACCTATTGTATTGTGATTTTTATAAAAGGCAAAATAAAGAATAACAGTAAATGATTGACAAATAATGAGTAACTGATGACATGTGCTCGCAGTTACTTATTTCGCAACGGTATAAATTGCATGAAAAAATATTCGTAGAAAAAATACTTTGTCCAGACTATCAAATTTTATTCGAAAAAAAACCCAAAAACTGTTCTTTGCGCATATAAAGTCATGATGTGCCTATATATTCCCAAGCACAGGACTAATAGATACGGCAATAGCCCCATTCAATTCCTCACTAGACTTCTAAAATAAATAATGAGAATTAGTATACAGTAACTGTCAATTTCGTTATTGCTGTTTCTGAATTTTGCCTATAGTTGAATTATGCGGGGCTCTTGATTCAATATATTGATTCAACACATCTATTTCCCCTGTTTAATATGAACTCTAAAAGTTATTTTTTTAGTCAATTTAATGTAAATTGTTTATAAATTTTATATCAACCAATGTGTAATTTTGTATAAATCGTAATCTAATTGTTATTCCTTGTGTTTTTTTAAATATTTTATAATGTAATAGAATTTTAATGTTCAATCTAATGAATTTTATCACATTTCTAGTTTTATAGGTCTGAATTTAATTTTATCGTTTTCAATTATGTAATCTTTTTGTGCTATTCTGTGTGTTTTTTCGGTTTTCTATTTCCGAGTTTTAATGTATTCTCATGTAATTCAGCGTTAATGCTGCCATTTGAGATTAAATAAAAA